GTCATGGGCTTTCCCACAGCAGAGGCATCCAAGATGCAACTGGATAGCCCCCCAAGAGGGATGTTTAACTGGGTGCCCTGCACTGAGCAAGGAGTTGGCCCCAGTGGCCTTCCTGGCCCCTTCCAACTCTACTGTTCTACGCTTCTATATATGAGGCCCGGTTGTACAACACTACTTAAACCACAGAACCAGAGCCCTTCACACTGGTTCCCTTTCTAGGTAGGGAAGCAACAAAGTGTAAAAATTACCTGCACAGTGCTATACTACTCAATCAGACCGAAGCATGCATCTTACCTTTTTCTTGCTTCTATGCCAAGTGGCTATAAGAACAGGATCAGTATAGCTCTTTCTACTTGTATTATTGCTAGTTCAGACTTTAGGACTGGGGAGCCTCAGAGTGAAATCCCCATGGGTGACGATAGGTCACTCACTACTTCTCAGCCTAACCTACTGCACAGAACTGCTGTGAAGATAAAATGCAAGAAGACACCCACGTACATGACCATGAATTTCTTTGAGGAAGGTAGGAAATCAATACAGTACATAATTAAAATATGTGTATCCTTCTGTCAGGAAGATGAATTAAGTTTTGGTTTTCCCATGGCTATAATTGAGTTATGGCTGGCCCATGTGTGATGGGGAGAGAGATTTACATTTTTGTGCATATTGTAATAGCAATGCTTATGATATACTGGTTTCAAAGTGCTTCACAAACATAATTTCAGCAGTCCTTATAATCTTGTGAGCTTGTCCTGTGTTGTGTCCATGTTAGAAGTGCAGGCTAAGAGACGTTGCCTTGTTTAAGGCCACCTAATAGGTTCATATCCGAGGTGAGCTTCAAATCAGTGACTTCGTGGCTCACAGGACATGCCCTTAGCTACTGCACTAAACCAGTTTTCACAATTTCCATACCAAGGGTGACATAAAAAGGTGAAATGTCTACTGCCTTTCATGTGTTATGAGGTGCGGGGGAGTGTGAGAGGGAGAGAGAAAGAGAGAGAGAGATCTTTTTCGTGGCTATGGTTGCTCTCCAAGCTTCTTTTGCACACAGCACTCGTCAATTTGGACAACATACTATAAGTCTGAAGCTGGTCTTTTGAATTCTGTCATGTTACAGGACCATCTGCTGTTCAATTACTACTGCGCAGCTTGGCAAATAAAAACCTGTTTCAAAGGAATCAGGTACTATTGTTCTAGAATGCTACAGGTTCAATATCTTATTTTCCTCTAACTGTAAAAATACAGTATATCACAGAAGTGAGTACACCCCTCACATTTTGTAAATATTTAATTATGTCTTTTCATGTGACAACCCTGAAGAAATGACACTTTGCTACAATGTAAAGTAGTGAGTATACAGCTCGTATAACTGTGTAAATTTGCTGTCCCCTCAAAATAACTCAACGCACAGCCATTAATGTCTAAACCGCTGGCAACAAAAGTGAGTACACCTCTAAGTGAAACTGTCCAAATTCAGCATTATTAGCCGGTGTCATGTGACTCGTTAGTGTTACAAGGTCTCAGGTGTGAATGGGGAGCAGGTGTGTTAAATCTGGTGTTATTGCTCTCACTCTCTCATACTGGTCACTGAAAGTTCAACATGGCACCTCATGGCAAAGAACTCTCTGAGGATCTGAAAAAAAGAAATGTTGCTCTGCATAAAGATGGCCCTAGGCTGTAAGAAGATTGCCAAGACCCTGAAACTGAGCTGCAGCACAGTGGCCAAGACAGCGGTTTAACAGGACAGGTTCCACTCAGAACAGGCCTTGCCATGGCCGACCAAAGAAGTTGAGTGCACGTGCTCAGCGTCATATCCAGAGGTTGGTTTTGGGAAATAGACGTATGAGTGCTGCCAGCATTGCTGCAGAGTTTGAAGGGGTGGTGGGTCAGCCTGTCAGTGCTCAGACCATACGCCGCACACTGCATCAAATTGGTCTGCAGGGCTGTCGTCCCAAAAGGAAGCCTCTTCTAAAGATGATGCACAAGAAAGCTCGCAAACAGTTTGCTGAAGACAAACAGACTAAGGACATGGATTAGTGGAACCATGTCCTGTGGTCTGATGAGACCAAGATAAATTTATTTGGTTCAGATGGTGTCAAGCGTGTGTGGCGACAACCAGGTGAGGAGTACAAAGACGAGTGTGTCTTGGCTACAGTCAAGCATGGTGGTGGAAATGTCATGGTCTGGGGCTGCACGAGTGCTGCCGGCACTGGGGAGCTACAGTTAATTGAGGGAACCATGAATGCCAACATGTACTGTGACATACTGAAGCAGAGCATGATCCTCTCCCTTTGGAGACTGGGCCACAGGGCAGTATTCCAACATAACAACCCCAAACACACTTCCAAGACGACCACTGCCTTGCTAAAGAAGCTGAGGGTAAAGGTGATGGACTGGCCAAGCATGTCTCCAGACCTAAACCCTATCGAGCATCTGTGGGGCATCCTGAAATGGAAGGTGGAGGAGCGCAAGGTCTCTAACATCCACCAGCTCCGTGATGTCGTCATGGAGGAGTGGAAGAGGACTCCAGTGGCAACCTGTGAAGCTCTGGTGAACTCCATGTCCAAGAGGGTTAAGGCAGTGCTGGAAAATAATGGTGGCCACACAAAATATTGACACTTTGGGCCCAATTTGGACAGTTTCACTTAAGGGTGTACTCACTTTTGTTGCCAGCAGTTTAGACATTAATGACTGTGTGTTGAGTTATTTTGAGGGGACAGCAAATTTACACTGTTATACAAGCTGTATACTCACTACTTTACATTGTAGCAAAGTGTCATTTCTTCAGGATTGTCACATGAAAAGATATAATAAAATATTTACAAAATGTGAGGGGTGTACTCATTTCTGTGATATACTGTATTGTGGTCTTTGCCATGGTTCCCTTCTCTACTGGTGCAGATGACTGATAGGATGCATCTGGTTTCACTTTTTTAACAACAGTCTCCCACATTTATAAAGTCCGAAAATCTCAAAACAACCTTTCTCCTCCAAGATTGGGGTGAAAGGTGAATGCAAGGACAGCCCACCATGGGTAACCAATTATGGTGAATCATTTTGTTGTGAAATCTCAGAAAGTTTGCCACAGAGTTTCCTGTTTTTCAGGAACAAGCCATGCAGATAACCCATATTTTGTTGTAAGGCTCTTCTTGCCCACAGTAGCCTGCTGTATTGTCTGAACCCAGGAAACTGATTTTCTCATGGGTTGTGGAGACTGACTACAGAGCCTGTACTACTTGCTTTTTGTGATCTTGCCAGCAACTCTCATCATTGGTTGGCTGGTTTATTATTTTTGGAGCTTCAAAAATGTGCAATTGGGCTCCTTTTTGGTGGGGGGTGCAGTTTTTCACAAGTGCAAACATTTAATAGTGAACTGATATGAGTATTGACAAGTTGAGGTTGCGTATCAGCTAAGCTGTGCATAATTGTGAAGGACTTGGGAGGAAAACAGTGAGAGAAAGGAAGGTCCTGGCAGCACAAGCCGGAAGCACTGAAAATGGGAAGAAAGCCAAAGGAAAAAGTTCTTCAATGGTGGTGGTGAGGTGACAGAATCTGCCTCTTGGTGATGTGAACCTCTTGATTTTAGGTACTGACTTTTTCAATACTTTCTCAGTTCTCCAGCTACTCAGGAAAGGGGTGATATTATCTCATCCTTTCTGTTTTGGATCAGTTACTGTGGTTCCCTGCCAATTAAAACACCACACAGAAATGTATACACATTTAATGGCTGGGAAGTAAATAGAAGGGCAATTTGTGTACCTGTACTAACTACTCTGTATTTTGCTTCCCAACCACTTGAGGGAGTGTTGAAAAGCTGGGGAGTACCACCGTCAGTTCACTTAAAATTGAAAGGCTCACAATGCCAAGGGGTAGAGTTTGTCACACACAACCCCACACACACTTTTGTACACCTTCTTTTGCTTCCCCTCCCCCTTAACTGGTGCTTTTCAATGAATAGTTAGGCATTTGGTCTGCGGCAACCATGTAGTTTCATCTTGCCAACCTATTACTCACGCCACTTTGCCATTCTGCTTGACAGCTGAGACAGGCAAGGAAATCAACCAGGCAAGACTATGCATATCAGCTCCAAGAGAAGACTTGCACATGTGAAAAAGAGTGACAAAAATATTAATTAAAATTATGAGAACATTTGCACACATTTCTGTGGCTGAAAATCTTAGAACAAGCCTAATTGTGCTTTTTTGAGGCTCATCCTCAAAACAAAACACCTCCCCCCCATAAAAAAAACCCAGTGGTGGTGACTGAAAAAGGGGGTAGTGATCGCAGCAGAGAGGGGGAGATAAGACAGGTTCCGCTACAAATGACGCTGGATGCAGTTCGGTGAGGGGATGAGGGGGAGAACAAAAGACCCACTGTGTGTCCTATGCAGAGTGGTTTAGTGTGATGTGTGAACATGAGTCACATTCAGGGACACCATCCTGGAGGTATTCTAGGGTCAGATTTTCAGAACGAACAGCTCTCCAGCCATTTCCGCTGGGACAAGATGGCATCCACAAGCATTCAGTGAAATCAAGGACATCCAGTCTTGCTACAGGCAACATATGTGGAATCTGCCAGTGGTTTGAACTCCTTGGTTCACATCTACTGATCTTTCTTCACATAAGACAAGTAGGTGAACAGGAGGTGAATTGCTCAGGAGCTGTTTCTTCCTGGACTTCTAGGTCCCAGGGAAGGAGGGAGGCAGACGTTTTGCAGGCTGCGAGGCACACAGACACGCGGTAGCTCTGAAGATGAATGCTGAACAGCTGGAGCTATCAAAGGAGGGAGGCACTAAGGCGAGTGTGCACATTGCTGATGTGTCGAAGTAGCACTCCTCACCCACCCCGCTCCTCTGCCAAGCCAAGCAGCCCCTGCCCTACAAAGCCACTCTGGAGTTATGGAGAAGTGCCTACTCCAGGCAGTCTCCCCCCTGCTCTGACAGGGTCTCCAGCTGTTCTCCTTCGCCACATTGAGTAACAGTAATCCCAGTGAACAGAGGGTTGTTCTGGCATTTCTATTTTATTAACCATTTATTTCATTAATTGTTTTACTCTCACATTACAATCTGTGGTGGTTTATTATTAAATGTATGCATTTTCCATTGAATTTCTTTTGGAAAATAAATAGAGATAAGTGAACTGTGTAGGTAGGATGCATTCTGGATTCTTGGTTAAACTTCATGATTGGAACTCCACATCAGGCCTCTGAAAAGCACAGCCCTCCCTCCCCACACGTGTCTGAAAGCTGATAGTCTGGTGGCTGGAGTTCTTAAAAAAGGAAGTGGGGTGGGGGGAAGAGAAGAATACCACCACCAAGTTTGGGCTGTACAAGCTGAGAGGAAGCACAGAGGATCTTGTTCTTGAAACAAAGACATTGTATGTGGTTTACAAAAAAAATCATTATCACCATCATCATCATATTCTTCTTCTCATTTGTTTTTAAATGTGTAGGTTAGGTCAGTTATACATGGATCCCAGATTCCGGCTTGATGCTTGGTAGCAAAATCTATCAACTATCTGTCCTTCCCTGAGTTCATTGCCACTTAGCAAGGGCCAGGTAGGGCAATGGGGGCCAAATACTGCACATCCCAGCACAACTGACACTGGAGTCAGCAGCCTGCTGTGTCAAGTCACCTCTTGTTTATTTCTATCACTTCATTTTGGTGGCCTGCAATACAGGTCTCTAGCTGTATGAGCAATCCTCCTTTCATTTTGCATGGTGACTCTCAGCCTGCCTCTCAATATAAAACAGGCTTCATAATGAGAGCTAGGAGATGGATTCTGCAAGTAAAGCAGAGCCAATTTCCACAGTACAAAACGCGCTGGACGGCTCCCTGCACTTAATATGATCAAAATCAGCAACATTATTGGCAAGACTGTATTTCCATGCGGCTCCACAGCATTGTGGACAACTGATACCGAAGCCAGGCCCTGTGTAACTGCACAGTTCTGGCTCGGCACTATGCAGGGTCTTCGTGGCGTTGTGCCCCGAGCTACCCAGGCCATTCTTTCACTGGGGTTTGCTTTTCCTGGCTCTAAAAGGATTGCAGTCTTCTTCATATGGGGGGTAGATGGTGTGCAAGATGGAACCAGCATGCTCTAAAGAGCGGAAGCCAGCAGTTCCCTTGCAGTGAGCACACATGCATGCAACATATACATGGGCCCAGTTATGTATAGCCTAAGTGCAAGTGCCCGAAGTGGAAGCAGGGAGGAGGGACTCCTGCACAGGCCTGATCTGTATGTGTGCTGCACGCATGTCTCTGTATCCATTACCAAGCTGAGTAATAGCACTTCCGCAAACAGAGAGCAGGGTGGGGTGGGAGAATTTAAGGCAGTGGTACAATGATAAGCAAACTCCTTAACGGTCTATGCAGAGGTAGCCGGCCATTTCTTGTGCTTATGGGGTTCTCCTGTGAGCAAAAAGAGGAGAGGATGGCTGGAGCAACTTAAGGATGGGGTGGGCATAAGAAGGGAAGGTCTCCTGTCCTGTCACGTGTTCAGATGCAGCTACTCAAATGCATCACTCCTGTTTCGCAATGATCATCAGGCAACTGGGGGCAATTTCTCCTCCACAGTGGCAGTCAACTCTGTAGTAGCTTCTGCAGCACTGAGACTCTCTCTTTCTTAAGACTCCCACTAATTCCTTTTAACTGTTTCCAGTGAGTGTTAGAGAATTTAGTGGCCAGTGGCATACAGAACAGAAAGAGACACACAGACTATCCACAACCAGGCAGCCTGCTGGCATGCAACTGCTGGGACCAGCATGTGGCACAAAATAGGTAGCAGCCACAGACATTCTAGGTGGAATAGCAGGCAAGTTCTGAAATCTTTCCTGATTTAAAGGAAACCTCCACCCCTCTTCCAGGAAGAAATGACCTCCTTTGTTTGCAGGAGCCGTATTATCACAACCAGAGAAGCAGCTGCAAGTGGTCATGGTACCTGCAGAGAATGTAACACTCCTTTTCTGTAGCTCCTGGAGGCAATGGCTGTAAGGAAAGCAAGAGAGTGCTTCACTCCCTTTCTTCAGACTCAAAATCATCAGTAGCTAAATCAGGAGGAAAAAGTGTTCAAGTTATGGGGGTTGCACAGCAGCAGCAGCAGCAGCCAACACTAAACATTCAAGTCGATAGTTTCACTATGTACATCATGAGTGAGAGACATGGTCCCGCCAGCCAGAAGATGTCCTGCTCCGACAACGCAGCCAGGCACTGTTATCTGATTCGTTTCTCCACTGAGTACACTGAGATGTAGTAGTCATTGCTTCCAACTGCAAGGTGAGGCTGTGGGAAAGAGGAGAACAAATGCCATGAGTGTTGCCTGCCAGCGCCCATGCTCACTGCCAACCCTGGTCATCCCACAGGATGACTGTGGCCGTGATGGCACACTGGATTTTCTAAGTTCTCCAACCATCTCTGAAGACCGGTGTGCCTGCAGAGGCAAGCCCTAACCCTCTTCCCCAACTTCTAACTGGCTGCTGTCAGAGCCAGGCTTCACTTCTGTTGCTTGTGAACCCAGAGACGCTCAGAAGGCACTAAAATGTCTAACTGCTGTCTGAAGTGAGGTCAGTGGAACAGCAGAGCAAACTGTCAGGGATGGGGGACCCTTCTCACTAGCAAGAAGCTCATGTCAAGACTCCTGAGTAGTGGAGACCCTCCCCAGTTGACAGAATGGCTTGTCTGAAAATGTGCTCATAGTCAATAGCTACCACACCCAAATGGAAATTTGTGTAAGGTTTGGATCCATCTTTGTCAGCAAGCCCACAGAATGGATACTGCTCTCTGAATCTCCTCAGCAGGGTCCCCCAGCCCTCTGGAACACAGTTGGAAGGCCCACTGGGGGCTGCACAGGAGAAAAGGGATACAGAAGTCCAATTGTGGCAATGGCATCTGTTTGTGGGTGGAATGACAAAGCTGAACTCAGCCTTAAGAGTCCCTTGAGAACCCATGAACCATGCTCAGGAGGCACTATTGTTGTGAATTGGATTTTGCTGGCATTTTAAAAGAAAAGATCCTCATGCAGAATGACAGGCATCAGTGTCTCATTTTAAAGCAGCAACTTGTTTTAATGCTCAGTCAGACAGCTGCACTTGGGGAACGCAAGAGACCTGAGTCAACATAAGCACAGCAAGATGTTCACAGAACAGAGCTCGACAAAATTCTTCTGTTTGTGCACATAAAGAGCATGCAAGGGAATCTGGGATTGGCATGGCTGCACATATTTGGCTCCTAAAGCATTGCATGCAGTATATTTAATTCTGAATATCTCACACCGCTTTATTAACCTCCCCCTCCCCCAGTATGTGATTTATGCATTGCTATAATCCAGAGAGGAAGGCACCAGTATGCTAAATGGACATGCCATTCACCTACTCACATTCTTCTTCTCACATTACCAAAGCATTGTGAGATAAGACCATGGAAGTAGCTGCTATGCTGCTACAGTACTGAATGAATCGGATATTTATGTGAGATTTCTATTGACAGGGTTGGGGCTTTTTCCCAAACCATGCTGCTGAAATGAAGAAAAACAAGTGGTAACTTGGAATGGGGATTGGGGGTCTAAGGATGATCAACTCTGTTTAGTTCTTATCTTCAAAACAACCTGCGCTCAGAAATCTTTAATGTTAAATGTCTGTCTTTTGCATTAGGCTGTGGCTGGCTAGCAGATCTTGGAGTTCCAACACCCTCCCTGCCCCAAAACCCAAAGTAGATCCTGCAAGATTGAAGTCTGTCAATTCCTGAGGTAAAGTAGTTCTTATGTTCATGATCTAATTACTTGAAAAAACCAAGTTTTGCTAACTTCCTCACAGCCAACAACAAATATGCTAGAATTTTCAAGTGATCTTCAATCAAAAAAAGGAAGGAAATATTCACAATCTAGGTTAGTTCAGTTAATTAATTCTGTCTCCAAATTTGGGTTTTTCTCACTTCTGAATGTGGAGTTTGTGTGTATGTGCCCCTGAGCTGTACTGGTCCTCTTTTTAAGAGCTGTTCTGCAGTCAACAGTAGAAAGGTACCAGAGAAGGAAACAGAGAGAAAGGAGACTGACCCAGTGTGGGTGGAAGGCCAGGCAGCTGATGGCACCCACTCTCTGGCCCATGAACCCATCATAGTACTTGATATTGTTGATCAGCTCTCCATTCCCATTGTAGATTGCGGTGAACTGATTCATTGAGCCACTGTAAGAGAAAGAGAGAACACAGCACTCCCATGACATTAAGCCAGCCATGGCCAAGCCTTGCAGGCGAAGCCTGACTCTTACTCTTGGCAGATCAAGCATGGCTGCAGGGCAGCATCCAAGATCCCAAGTGGGCTTATATTAAGAAAGATTTTCTTTTAAATCCTGGAACTTTCAGCACAGTCTGTCTGATTGTCAGCAAGAATTACATGCTCAACAAGCAATTCAAGGCGGGGGAGTCGAGCATTTGGGCAGGGAAGACAACTATGGCATGGTCTGGAGTGAGAACATCAAGCACAAAGCTGGTGAGGCTGGATGACAAGTCTCTGCAAAATTGTGTACTTGGCACACAGAGAAAGAAAACCCCCACACTTCTAAAAATGGTGACTCAGAATATCCACCATAGCTGAAATCTGAGAGGCAAAGAGTTAAAGAAAACACGCAATGGTTAAAATATCTTAACTGCAAGCATGGGAAGGAACCTGCACTGCTTATGCCCAGGAAAAGAGATGAAAGTGTTTGCGAAAAGGGCTGCTCCTCCCTGTGCCTTTGGGAACTTACCATGCAAACAAGTTGGCTTGTGGGTGGATGTCCAGCGCTGTCAGTCCTTTGACTATCTGAAGCACTTTTACTGATTCTGGCATTCTGGGGTCGAAGAAACGGACATCTCCATTTACACTGTGAACAGAGAAAACACTGGACTATTGGCCACTTGCCCCTACATGGACAGCAGGTTCTATTTATCCCACAACCTGGCCATAATTAGGAGAACAGCCATTGGCCAACTTGCCAGAAATTCTCCTTTGCACAGCCAGCACAGTAATCGCTTTAAATAACTATCTACAAGGCTCTAGGTAAAGTTAGCAACCTTTGGCTACAATGCCCATAATCCCTGACCCACCAGTTATACTGACTGGTATTGAGGTGCGCAACATCTGAAGGCACCAGGGTGCCTACCTCTGCTCTCCCTACTGCAGAAGTAAATGCAAGCTTACTCTTGATACAGCTCTGCTCACTCCTACATATGGAATTGAAGTATGCGAAAAGAACAAGTTTTCCTCCTGTCCAGCTAAATGTCATTCACAGACAATTGCCTGGCTTCGCTGTTTGTCTGGTCTTTGGCCAAGAGGCACCTTCATCTGCTCTGAAACAAGGCAAATGAACACTGGATAATGTCAACAGTAACCAAAACACCTTGTACTGTGCCAGCTTCAGATTGGTGGGCAGGCAACAGATTTTTGGCTGGTAAACACTGGACATGATGCTTTCTATTGGTTATGAGTAGTTGAGATCATAACAAATTGGTTGGGTGAACTGTCTCTCCTTCAGCTAGACTGCCTTCTTGCCCTGATTTTGATGGATTCCTATCTCACAACATTAGTCCTTAGTCCTAATCTTCTGGACATTTAAAATTGTGTTTAGACCAAGTGATGATTTTATGAGGGAGGCCAAGTTGAAACATGGGGTTCCCTCATTGCTCAAACAGTATTCATAAGCATAGGCTGTGAGCTGAAAGTGAACACTGGTAAATAAAACAGAAAAATACAATCAGAATCACTAAGGGACTTGATAACTTATCTCTTCTTCCACATTCCTTGCTTTTAGTTTTCAAAAGCAGACAGATAAAATAGGGAAAAATAAGATAAAACAGCTGGCAAGTCAGCTGTAATTAAAAGCTGGATCAGCTGATATAGTCAAATTTAAACTGTAATTAAAGCTTGATTAACTGATTCAGGGTTTGATTCAGTCAACAGGCAAGCCCATAGTTTTCACTGATCTGGGCAACTAAATATATATGAACTAGTTGTACGCTGCAAACTGCCCAGAGATTTTGACTGTTGGGTGGTACACAAATGTAGTAAATGAAATGAATTTGAAAGCAAGTTTCTTGTCCTCATGGCTGAGGATAGAAACTTCAGGAACAAGAAACTGGTAAAGTGGAGTGAGGAAAATTAGATATTTGGAAGAAGAGAAAATAGGAGTAAAGTAATGTAGGTGTTCTTGCCCTTGTGAGGTTTGTTGCTTCTAGAGGCAAAAACACCTGCATTCTTGGACCACTGCTTCCTTCTCAGCTCCACCATCATCTACTTGCCTTTGATCTACTATTTTAGTTCCTACAGGCAAATTCTACATTTTCCTAGATCTTGTAAGTGGAATGAATGAAACAGTAAGGAGGAAATTTTTGACAACATACTTGCTTTGCATAATTGATTTTGACTGCAGTGCAGAGTAATTGACTGTTCAAGTGAAAAAATCTAGGCTGCTCCTACCTACCTAAAGTGCTATGGTATATCACCTCCCTTCCTTCCTCCAGATAGCTTACATGGAATAGCCAGTGACGTCCTATACAGGTAGTGACCTGACCCAGCTTCATGGGTCCTCTGCTCACAGCCATTATGAATCATGGGCTCAAAACCTGGATCACTGATACCAGATCCCTGTGTGACTGCAACTCATGCTGTGAGTGGGTAGTGCGTTTGACTGGACAGAGGGTGCCCAACTCATTCTGGATGGGGATGCACTCCCCTCGAAGGAGCAGGTTTGTAGCTGGGGGTTCTTCTAGAGCTATCCTTGAAGTTCAAGTGGCCTTGGTGGCATGCAGTACCTTCTACCAACTTGGACAGTGGCCAGCGACACCCTAGCTTGACAAGGATAACCTTGCTTCACTTGTCCATGCCCTGGTAACCTCCAGGTTAGATTGCTACAAAGTACTGCACATGGGGCTGCCTTCCAAGATGGCCCAGAAGCTGTAGCTCATGCAAAATGTGGCAGCCAGACTGACCACAGGGACAAGAAGGTCCACACGCATAGCGCTGCTTCTGCCTGCTTCCACTGGCTGCCTGTATTTCCAGGCCTGACTCAAGGTGCCGATTTTGTAAAACCCTTAAAAGACTTGGGACCATGATGCTTGGGAATGTGATGCCTCTTCTTGTACGAACATACCTATGCTACGTCCATCATCTAGGGCCCCCCTTCACAGGCCTCCTCTGGGTGAGGCTTGGATGGTGGCAACAAAGAACAGGGCCTTTTTGATTGGGTGGCCCTCCCGTGATTGGAAAGGTCTCCCTGATGTGGCTCACTTGGACCCAGTTATCTTTTCATCTCCAGGGCCAGACCTTAGACTTACCTCAAGCATTTGGCAACATTTGATGAGGCTTTGGTGACTCATGGATTTTTCTTGCTCTTGAGTGCTTTAAGTTGTTTAAAAATAGGGAGTGCAATAGACTCCTGTGCCGCCCCTAGTCAGCAGCCTTCCTTGCCAAAAGGGGACACTAAAAAAAAAATAACGGCAAGGTAGGGCTGAGCCCCATGATCATATGGCAGCACCGAAGGCAGCGTTGGGGTATGTGAATGCTGCCTTTTTCCTTTCAAAGCTCACACTTATCCTGGCACAGGAGGGACCCAAGGCTACTTTGTGGCTTCCAGGTAGGACTAAGCCCCACAAATCTCTTTGTACTATTCAAGCCTACTGCACACCAGCACAGCTCTGCCTCAGTATCTAGACATGAACAGGGGAGGGGGAGAACCATCTAACTAGAAAGATCAGGTTGTCAGGATATTAAATTCAGGGCAATTATAACTATAGGCTGTTTTGCACATTAGGGGGAATGACCATGAATGGTTTGACTAACATCACAAAAATGAAGCTGTTCAAAGCCTTGAATGTCAATATGGTAATTTAAAAGCCAATATTCAAATTTAACAAAGGGTAATGGAAAAGCTTTAGCTCTGCAGCTAATAGTGTGCATTCTTCAGGTGGGCCATGTGGTAGCCTTGGGCAGCAGTGCACCCCAAGGCTACCACATTCTGCTTGCATCAGTCAAGAGTTAAAGGACCAGTTCCAATGAGAGACCAATTTCAGCTAAGAGGCTATTGCTAATGTGGGTTTGCCTCGGGGACTGCCGAATGCTGGTACGACAGGTGACCGAGAGGCTCTCCGAGGAGGTCAAAAAGGGGCTGAAAAACTAACAGCAGACGGGATACTGAACAGACTAGACCCCTCCTGATCTAAGGGCTGAAGCTCACCAGGGAACATGCTTGCACGTCTTACTGCTTGGGGAGCCCACCTTTAATTCTATCAGCAATTAGCTAGTAGCCTTTAGGTGCATTTTGAACACAAGGATTTGGGGGCATTTCTCCAAGACCAATGTCCCCTCCCCATCTCCTATTAATAGCATGCCATGGCATTGGTAATTCCTTAGCACTGATATTTTTCACAGGAGAGGAGCAAAGAGGGCTAGCAGGGTGTTTTTCAGCCTGGATTGTAGAGCAGGTTTTCCTTTCTCCTTTGAATATTGATCTTTCTTATTTTGGACATTTTCATGGTAGGTGCTTGGTCTGCTTTGAGTGCTGTATTTTTATTATTAGCTGTGGCTGCTTCTTCAAATTCAGGCTTTTAAAAAACTGTATTTCTTCTCATCCTGAACTTATTTTTGTGCTATATCCTGCCTCATTTTATCTTGTGCTTTCTTAAATTGACAGCTCTATGTTAATAATGCCCCACTCTGCCAGATTTTGCTATTTCTCATAGCTTCTCTTGCTTAGCTGATATAGAAACTTCGATCCCCCCCTCCAATTCTGAATCCTCTCCCCTGCAGTTTTGTCTTCTGTTCCTTTCACTATTCCCCAAGTGCTAGCAGAGGCACAGCAGGAGGGGGCTGTTTTCCTTTGCCCCTCTTCTGTGTAACACCAACAGCCTTTGTCTCCTTCTTTCTTTCTCAACTATCTGAATTCCATTCCATTCATCTTTTCTATCCTTTTCTTTGTGGCTTGCTGTTGTATATCATCCCACAGGGTCTCCTCTTTTCTGAGTAGAGACCTGGTTTTCTCATTCTTTGATCTCGCCTAGTTATTATCTTGAGTGATGTTAAAATTTATTCTTTCCTTATTTCCGTCAGTCTGTTTCTAATGCTCCTCCACCTTCCTGAATATAACTCTGTATTACATCATTTTCTCCTCTGGATCTCTCAGCTGTCTAGCCTTCTTTGATCAGATTCTTCTCTCTTCACTCTGCTTTACTTCCTATATTTCTCTTTTAGTGTTTAGAAATTCTATTTCCATAATGATTAGTCAATAAATAGGGACTTGTTCCTATTTTTCTCCTCTTACTTTCTTCCATATTGTTGTCAATGCTTGGCCTTATTTCTCCTTCTGTTGTTTTCATTTGACACCTCCTCCTCAGTCTTGGTTAACCCTTCTTCTTTCACTTTACTGTAGTTCTTCTTCCTCTAGTTCTTCTGATTTCTTTTTCTTTTTCTGCATCTGATTTTGCTCATGGTTCTCCTTTGTTATACCCTCATCACTGGCTCCTACTTCATTATAAGATTTGCTTTAAAGTAATTCTCCACTATGCTGATACATTTTTCTTCTCTACACATTGAGCTGCTTCTTCTAATTCACTCCCCTCTCTCTCCACTCTTGTTGCCCTCTTTCTCTGAAACTCACTGTTCCCCAACACCCACACCTCTCGTTGCAAATATTTGGACAGCATCATTTCCTCTGAGACTTTCAATGCCACTCTCTTCCCGTTTGTTTGGTTTTGTCTTTCTTCAACCTGTAGCCCTATGTACAGGGCTTGTTGTTTTTAACATAACCACTGCCTACTGACAGAAAAGGTCAACAACAATAGGAGTAATAATGATTTAATTAAAGATCTCTCAAAGAAGAGTTTGTCAGCA